GTTGGCCATGTCTAAAAATGTGTCTTATCGTGCACTTCTGTCTATCCCCTGAACTTCAGTCTCCTATCACCAATTGCATAATGGGCATTTCCAACTGGATGTCATGGACACATTTCAATTTCAGTATATCTGAAATGACCCATTATCTTTCCACAAAAAACTCACTCCTCTTCCAGAATTCCCAATTTCTTTAAGTGGTTTCACCATCTTTCCAGTCTCCCAGGTTTATAACCTTGAAATTAGCCTGGACTCCTCATTTCCATACATTTCTAATCATTTGCCAAATCTTTATGTTTCACCCTCCAGATTTCTCATGTCTGATCCTCTCTCTGTTCATACACACAATTGTTCAGGCCTTCATCCCCTCTTGCCTAGGTGACATACTCCTAATTGATCGCCAGCCTCAGATCTCTCCTCACTCCAGGCCATCCTCCACAGTGCTGCCAAAGTGGTTTTTCTTAAGAAAAAACCTGACCTAGTGCTTCACTGACTCATTCAACTCCAGTGGCTCCCTGTTGCCTCTAGGATAAATTATAAACTCCTCTTTCTAAGCTTTTAAAGCCCTCACAACAACTATTTTTCCATCCTCCTTATCATCTCTCCCTCCAACACACTGCAAACCCACCAAACTGGCCATCTCTGCTACTCCATGTTCCTATGCCTTTGCAAAAACCTTTCCTCGTGCATGGAATGCAAGGAATGACCTCACCTTGGCCTCTTAGTGTCCTGAAGACAAAGGTCAAGCAGCGCCATTGCTTAAAGCCTTTCCTAATCCCTCCTACTGTTTGTGTCTTCCCTCCCATTGTATTTAGCTCTGTGGTAGGTATTTGTGTTTATTTGCTTTAATTTATTCTAGATATATTTACATGTACCCTTTGTCTTCATGATATGAATGTGAACTCCTTGCAAAAAAAAATTGGGTTTTTTTGGTACTTGTATTCTGAGGGCTGGGCATACTGCATGTCACAGAGTAGGTATTTAATAAATTTTTTTGATTGATTGATTCACACACACACACACACACACACACACACACACATATCCTCCACCCAGCCCTGGACACTACTAGAGAATGACTTAACATCTAGGGAAATTGATGTTAATATATTAGCATTAGCATCTTGTGTTAAAGCCCATTATCTATTTATTTTTAATTTTCAAAATAGATTTTACATTGCATAGCATGGAAATTTACCTCTTTTAGAATAAAATCTCTTGCAATTTTTTATTTCTTGCATCCTCTTTGGAAGTTCCTCCACTTTAATCTTTGAATAAAACTGGAATAAGGAGGGTGAAATCTGTTTTTCCTTTCTAAATGATTTTTCTTTGCAAATGAAATTCAATTCATGACCAATGAATAATGGCATCTTTTAGTCCCTGATGCTCTGATACTGAGTGAATTCTGAGTTGACTGCCATTTCCAGAGTAACCATGGTGACCAGGATAGCTCCAATGAAATCCATTAATCTCACTGTGATTAACTGTAAATCCCCAAGGATCTTTTTTTTTTCAAGGATCTAGCAATATCTAATTCCTCTCCATGGGTAATAGTGTGTGATGCACCCCTCCCAACTCCCTTTAAAAATGTGCATCTCTAATCAACAAATATCCATGGCAAAGCCTCATTAATGCACACTGTTAATTAGTATACCTGTCCCAGGAGAGGCAACATTGCAATATGGCAAATGACCCCTTGCAAGGTATAAACACAAGGTCTTGGAAATACCCCACACTCATCGGTATTTTTGACACCTGTGCCAGAAATTTTCAAAAGAGGTTTTCATGTGGTTAAAAGTAAGCAGGATGTTGTGTAGGGTATGATGCTAAAGAAATTTTAGCTGTATGAAGTCTCTTTACAAGTCAGCTTCAGAGATTTTTGTCACTCTCATAAATAATTTCAGAGGCAAAGATTTGGGGGAATAATTCACAATTAGAGACCTGGGTGCTCAGAGCCTTACTATGGGGAGATGAGATTGTAGGTTCTTAATTGATGAATCAAAGTTTCCCTCCCTTGTGAAGTTCAGCTTGGTGGGAATAAACAATAAACCAGGGTGGGATATGTAAATAATAGCAAAGGTCACCCACCTGGGCTGAGTGGGAATTAGAAAATTATGTATTATTTATCTGATTCTTGCTCTCAGTAGCCTTCTTTCTTGCCCATTGACTATTAGAAATGATCCTTTAAGAATGAAACATGACTTGATTAAAACCATAACCTTTCTCTCAATTTGTGAGCAGATATTCCTGCCGACATCAAGTTTCTCTAATTAGAGAAGTAATTGAAGCAATTCATTTCCATCTGTATGTTCATTATCAGAGAAATACCAGGAAAACAACCAAAACACATTTTTTAAAAAATGAACATACTTCTGAATACAAATACCAGCCCGTATCCCCTTTGCAGAGTTTATTTGATTAATTTAGTCTCCCTTCATTGTGATTTTTGGACAGTAGAAGAAAGAACAGTCAGCCTAAGAGTAAGAAGAAAAGTTGAAGCCAATTCTAGCTATGTGATGTTGGGGGAGTCATTTAAATTCACTGGGACTCACTTCCCTCACCTGGAAAATGGGGATAATAATGTTTGCATTATATACCTCATGGGGTTACTTAATTGAACAAAACAACAAACGCTTATTAAACACCTACTGTGAACAAAACCCTGTAGTAGGCTCTGAGGATAAAAATACAAAAAAGAAGCAATCCCTGCCTTCAAGGGGTTTATTTGCTCCTGAGCAAGGAGCAGGGTCAGAGTTTGAGCCCAAATCCACTGACTCTGAAGCCAATGCTGAGGAGAAGGGTGGTGAATCCAGTTTGAAACAGAGAAGTAACTAATTACTAAATGTTTGGAGGATTTGAGTGGGGAAGGGTATCCAATTTATGATTTCATCAGCACAGAGAATTCCCAGTGAAGAAACTCCATTTGTCTACCCAGTTTGACCATCTGCTCTAAAAATTATTGTCTTTGAGAGTTTCCTGGTTGTGGAGAATTAAACGACTTACCTGGCAGGACACACACATTACATATCAGAGGCCAAACCTAAATCCAGGCACTGATTCCAAGGTCTGCTCTCTATCTGCCATGCCATGGCTATCTCTAATAACAAGGAGGTGATGGTAGTGGGGGGAAGCCAGGTAGGAAAGCTCTCCTGTAGAAAGAAGTAGCTGGGCTTTGTCCAAGTTAACAGATACATTGAAAACGTTTAAGCATCATATAAATGAGTAATTATTATGCTAATAGCAATCAGTATAGTATCATCAAGATAAGTGGTAGCTACAGAATTCAAAATACAAGATTTAGTATTCATTTCCTTAGTACTCATCATAAAAACACATTCTGGCAGCAAGGGCGACCTTTGCTCTCTTCCGCCCCAATGGCACAGTTCATATATTATCTATTTTTTTTTTAAAAATTGTTTTCATTTGCATTTGAAATCACATATTTCAGGATACTTGGAGTTTGTCAATACGTACATATGTACCTATAGATAGATAAATAGATAGATGATTTAAATGATCCTAACAGCTTATCATGGGGTAACTGGGAGGCACAGTGGGTAGAATGCTTGTCCTGGAGTCAGGAAGACTCATCTTCCTGAGTTCAAATTGTTCTGTTAATGATTTAATAAAATAGAATGATAACTTTTTTTTTTCTGCTTGCATTAGTTGTATAATTCCTCAGCCCAATTCCCAGAAGAATGAGAAGAGAGCTATAGTGTAGTAGAAGGAATATTGGTTTAGAGTCAGGGGATGTAGGTTGAAATCCTGACCCTGCTCCTTATTCTCTGTGCGGCCTTGGGTAAGCCGTGTAACTTCTTAGTATTTCAGTTTCCTGGGCTATAAAATGAGGGAGAGACTTCACATGTCTCTTCTAGCTCTGATGTTCTATCGACCTTTCTGCACTCTATGCTCCTAGTCTTAACAGATAAATTTCACCTTTCAAATGTGGTAACCTATTATTGTTGTTCAGTTGTTTTTCAGTTGTGTCCAAATCTTTATTAACCCATTTGGGGTTTTCTTAGCAAAGATACTGGAGTGGTTTGCCATTTCCTTCTCCAGTTCATTTTACAGAGGAGAAAGCTGAGGCAAACAGGGTTAAGTGACTTGACGAGGGGTCACACAGCTAGTAAGTGTCTGAGGCCAGATTTGAACCCAGGAAGATGAGTCTTCCTGACTTTAGGTCTGTCATTCTATCCACTGCCCCACTTAGCTGCCCCAGATATATGGAAATAACAGATAGTAATATGTGTACATATATATGTATATATATATATATATATATATATGTATATATATGCATGTATGTATGTAAAACATATGTGCATGTGTATATTTATATATAAAGATATATTATATATGTATATACATATGTATGTTTTGTGTGAACTAACGTTCTGTGGTTCTAATTAGTTCCCATCCAAGTAACAAAATAAAGGGGGGAGAGTAGGGGGTGAGTCTGTGTGTGATATACTTTATCTGAGGCTATTTTTAAAAATTAGATATAATGTAATTATGAGTTAAAATGCCAACACAGCGCAGCATCCTTATTAATTGTTTCATTCTATACAAACTGAAAGTGATGTACTTATCATTTCATAGTATTCATATTTTTATTACCCTGGATACTCTACGTTTAATTTGTCTCTGAAGATTAAGAACCTTTTGTAATAAAATAAAATTATATTTGTGCATGATGGGATGAAAAGGCAATGGCAAACTTCTGTTGTTGTTGTTTGTAAAGAAAGGCAGGCTTACTGCTAGTATAGCTTATACAACAAGGGAATCAAGACAATGCTGAACTTCTCTTGATTTTTTTTTAATGCATTCATTTACTGTTGAGCCTTTGAAGGGCTGAATTACAGAACAAGCTAATTTAGTCTAAATGTCAGAAGTTGTCTGAGTTTCATTTCCCCTGTTATTACAATCTCTGGCGTTTGTTTCTTCTTTTTCAGACAGCCATGCCTTTCCCTGACTTTTTTTTGTGTGTGTTCTGTCTCTTTTAGGTCAACTCAAATCAAAACGTACTCTTGGGATAATGCCCAGGTTATCTTGGTTGGGAACAAATGTGACATGGAAGATGAGCGGGTCATCTCAACAGAGAGAGGCAAACATTTAGGAGAGCAGCTCGGTAAGAAATCAACCAATGAGAGAGCTTTATTGTTCACAGAACTTCACAGAAGGAGCATGAGCACTAATTGTCAGGGTGGATTAAATGAAATTTACTACACTGGTGGTGAAACGCTGTGTATCCTCAGGAAATGGTCATTGCCTTTTCTTCAATCTTTCTTAATCATATTCAAGCCCAATTCAAAAAGAGAAAAAGATGGCTAAAATTGTGCAAATGAGATCATGTATATATAGTACTTTATAAACCAGAAAGCCATAAAATTGTGAGTAATGCTTACTATTATTATCTACAAAATAGTACAAGACCCAGATGAAGGCCTCCAACTTTTCCTAAGACCTCTGTGGAGGGCTTACGGAAGAAAACAAAGACAAAAGCTTGTGAATGGATTATTCAAGGATGTGCTAGAAGCAGATTCTACAAGCTCAAGAGAGCTGGTAGTTAAATTTTTAGTGTGAGCATTTGTTGTTCAGTCATGTCTGACTCTTCGTGAACCCAATTGGGGTTTTCTTGGCAAATATACCGGAATGATTTGCCATTTCCTTCTCCAATTCATTTTACTGAGGAAACTGAGTCAAACAGAGTTAAGTGACTTGGCCAGGGTCACATAGCTGGTAAGTGTCTGAGGCTGGATTTGAACTCAAAAAGATGAATCTTCCTGACTCTGGGCCTGGCTGTCTATCCAGTTCCCTACCTAGCTACTCAAGTGTGAGCATTTACATCTTAGATATCTTCAAACAGTACAAATCAGGGCTTGATGTATTGTCTTGTAGATTATCTAGACTTAAGAAAGTGATGGAGATTATGTTCATAATAATGAAAATTAAATTTTAAATTATATGTACATTTTTTCTTGTGGAACTGGCTGTTAAACGTTTACCAGAGCACCACTAATTGTGATCCATAATGGTAAAAATAGTAGGCGCCCAAATGAGAGCATAGATTCAGGGAAGGATTTTTATAGGCTGGACTCCTCTCCTTGCTCCTCCTTAAAAAGAACCAAATCCACTTTTATCTTTGCGTCCCCTCCCCACCCCTACCATTGTGCAAAATCTTGCACAAATACCCTGGCTGATTAGAGTTGCTCCCGGGCCACCTCACAGGATATGCCTTCTTGTAAAGATAAGATGAAGGGGAAGAGATGAAGGGGAGAGAAAAGGGATGTTGGTACAAAGGGAGAATCCAGATGAATGTATTCATCCAACCCACATTCATCATTTATCAAGTACCTACTATACGCTCTGTATTGTGCTAGCCCTTGGGCTGGTAGGGAATACAAAAAGGCATCATGTACTATGCATGAAACACCACTAAGAATGCAAAGGTGTTACATATGCCCTTCCAGCATTTAAAGATGTCTTCATTGCTTGCAGGACTCTGGAACCTTGTATAAAAAACCTTTCCTGAGCCCCTGATAGCCTTTAAAAGGAGAAGTCCCAAAATGATCATGAAAATCAGCCATATTCTATAAGCTTCTCAGTGAAAAATTATTGAGAAGTTCCTGAAATCACAAGGCAGGAGTGTTTTATGTCTTTGCAAGTTCCTCCAATTGTTTCTAATTGATCTTTTTGCTCTGGGTTCACTAAAAATCAGTGGTTGCCCTAGCAACCATTGTATGATGCTCTCCTAGAGAGAAATGTACCTCCTTCCATGTGGCTTAGTCTTCCCCACCCCACCCCCCCGTCCCATGACCATACATGCTTTCATTAACTGAAATGAGAGATGAACACTAATGAAAAGCAGATACTAAACCCTACGAAGTTCAAAGTCTAGGTTTAAGCATTTGTCTATCTTTAAAAACACACAGATAAAACTCCATGACAAAGAGTGTCATTAAAAAGGAGACTGATAAAAAGGATAAAAAAAGTTATTTCCAAGCCTTGGCATATGACTCAAAATAGCAATTCTCCTTGGTTCTCCTTCTAACTCATTCTATGTAATGAATAACCCTTTGCAATACATGTTTTCTTTAATTCTTGCCAGTATAGCATTCACACACTACAAGGAAAGTACCTGACAGCCAAATTGTAACTGAATTCTTTCAGATTGTTTAATCTTACCATGAAATACATCTCATGGAGGAGTGAAGTTGCTTTTCCTTCTCCCACCCTGTCCAAATCCCACCACTCAAGAGACCTACCTGCAATGAAAGACTTATGTTGGCCATCTGTCAGTAAAGCCTAAAGCTGTACCTTAAATGATCCCTTAGGTTTCCGGCGGGGCTAAGGTTTATCCTGTTGTTCATGGACCCTCAACAGGGACCTTGGATAGATTTCATGGGGCTCATCAATTTGATGGGAAAAAATTCCATCTTTATTTTAGTAGAGTTGGTTTCCTTCATAATCCTATATACTTTACTCTGTGCATTTACAAACATGATTCTGAGAAGGCATCCATGGGCTTTACCAGACTGCCACAGTGGTCCACAATACAAAAGAAAAGGTGAATAAACTCTGGGATAAGTATTAAAAATCATATTTTCATCACCTGAAGCACCCATCAGTTCTCTTTCATTCAGATCATCTCTAGTGGTCCAGAGTAGCTAGTCACTTTCTACCATTCTGAACCTATGTTTCCATCTCTTGATTAGAGGATTTTTTAGAGTTCAGTCCTTGGCTCTTTTCCCTCTATTCTTTCTCTTTCTGAGAACTAAATCACTTTTATGGATTTAACTCTCACTTTTTGTAGAATACTTCCCCCAAATTAGATCTCTGGTCCTTATCTCTTGAGCTCTAGCTCAATATCTGTAGCTGCCCAGGAATACATTACCATGTGACTGTCATTTCATCCCTGAAATTCAGCATGCCTGAAGTCAAACTTGCCACCTTCCTTCCTCCCTCCCAGCCAGTTTCCCCTCCTTAGCTGTTTCTTTCAGTGGTCCAATAAATTTCCTACTTGCCCAGGCTTTAAATCTTTTTCTCCCCTGTATCTACATTGAATTTCTTCCTTCCTTCCTTCCTTCCTTCCTTCCTTCCTTCCTTCCTTCCTTTCTTTTTTTCTTTCTTTCTGTGTTCTGCCCAAAGGGAATATAAATTTCAATCTCTGGAACTTTTTTTTTTACAACCCCAAATCACTCTGGCTTTCTTTGATTGGCCAACAGTAAGTCCCAGGTCATTGTCTGGGCCTGGATTGGTTCAGAATGAATGTAAATAATAATTGTTTCTGTTTGCCCCAAAAACCTCCTCGGTCTTTCCCTCCCAGATCAATTTTTTTTTTTGACTAAGTAAAGAGGCCATTCTCTGCCTCATTTCTTATTAAGCCTCAATCACTGAATGGGCATTGCCTTTGTCAAACTGAGACCTGTTCAAGACCTTAGCTTGAAAAGGGCAAGGGTCTTCCAATGGATCTTGGGCCATCTCCACTCTTCTTGATCTACATCTGGCCACTAGACCCAGGTGGCTCTGGAGGAGAAAGTGAGGTTGGTGACTTTGCACAGCCCTCCCTCACTTAAACCCAATTCACTTGTATGTCATAGCATCACCTCCCTGATGTCCTGGTCCTCTTCAAGAATGAAGGACAAACAGCAACATTGATCACCAATTCTTATCTATTTTTCTTCCATAGTATTTCCAATTCTCAGATTAGAGCAAGGAGCAACCACTCTAGCTTACCCTTGACCTTTAAACTAGTCAGGCCATAGCCTTGCTCTGTAAGAGTGGAGAGGTTGAGACAGCAGGGCAGCAGCACAGATGTAGGCAAGTAGGGTCAGACAATCCCAGACACCTCTGTGGTACTTCTTCTATAGTCAGAGATTGAGTAACTCATTTCAAAAAAAATTTTTCCCTAAGGAAATAACAGAGCCTCCTGATAGCATCTCTTCTGGCCTATGAGTTATTACTTTAGTCACCACACCCTTGGATTCTTGTTCAGGGTTAGCAATTTTTCTTTAACATACTTCATTTTCCTGTCCTACACACTTGGAAAAATTAGAAGTACAGCTTTTACAAATCTAGTTCAACACTACATATGTGACCTTAGGCGACTGCCTTTACCTAACTGGGTTTCAGTTTTCTCAACTGTAAAAAGAGAGGATTAGACTCAATAATGCTTTAAATTGTGTTTTTGGCTCCCGAGTAACCAAAGCTACTAGAAAGTGACTAGATCACCATTAAGGATGCTAAATCTTCATATTCAATCTTATTCAGATGAATAAGTTCTCTCAAAATCAGCATCTTAGCAACTCCCAACAAAAATCAACAGATACTTATTAAACACTTACGATGTGAAAGGGACTTATTAGAGCCTGGAGATGCAAGTACAAAGAATGAAACAATCCATACTCCTAAGAAGTTTATATTCTAATGGGGGAGAAAAGTGTAAATACATGCTATATACAAACTGAATAAATTCAACTGATCTGCCTACAAGGTAGCTTGGGAGGGAAGGCACTAGCAGTTGTGAGCATCAGGAAAGGTTTCATGTAGAAGATGATGCTTGAGCTACCGCATCTTAAAGGAAGAGAAGGAGTCTGTCTACAAGTGACACAGAGTGCCCGGTTCCCCTATCAGGTTGTTTTACAAGCAACTCATTGATATAGACATTCTCTCTGGGCCCTAGAAGTAAGCAACATAAAGTGTTATACCTGGAGGAACTCCAGCAACCAATCCCCAACCTACCCCTCTGCTCCAGTGTTCTTCTCTCTAGTCTATTACTACTACAGCTCCAGCTGTTACCACTATCCATGAGTGAGGGAGCCTTTATGATTATTCAGATTGGTAGTCCATGGATGCAGCATTCAGAAAATTAAAAAACAAAGGCTGGACCCCACCTTGATTCCTTTCTTCAAGTCTGCCTAAAGCCCAATATAGTTAGCTTGAAAGGTACATGATCTAGTGAACAATTTTTTTTTTTTTACTTTTTCCAGGTGAGAGAGCTAACTAGGAAATCTGAAAAGAGGAAAGTTGCCATGAAGCTCATTTTTCAAAAACCTAACCCACCTTCTTCAAGCACATAAGACTCTGGTCTTCAGCAGCTTTTCATTATTATCTTTAAAATCTTAATTT